ATTGGAATACGAACTATTTTGTATAATAAAGAGAGCCAGATTATCATAAATGAAACTAAAAATATTTAGCAGAAAAGGAGAAAGCTTGGCTACTGCTCAGAGATAATCCTTATTTTATTTCTTTACAAAAACATCATAAAATGAATGCCTGTAACAGATTATCCTTAAAGGTGCACATCCCTAGCCTTGGAATAGTTCTAGGCTCCTAGCTTGTTGATACTTCTTCTAGTGCTTAGAGGCACAGTTACATCTGCATTATCTCAGGGTCCGCAAGCTAGTGTTTCTACTTTATTTCTCATTTTGGAGGGCATATTTTTTTCTATCCTTATAGGAAATCTATAGCTATAGTGAGCTTCCTACCTTAGCTAACGGAGTTACTTCTCAGACTTCTCAGTGTTTTTGTTGTTGTTGCCCTTGGTAATTTGTATGTGTGTGTGTGTGTGTGTGTGTGTGTGTGTGTGTGTGTGTGTGTGTGTGTTTATTTTTTATTTCTGAGTTGTGGTAGGTTCAAGTAGATTGGCTCAACCTTATTTTTTCAATAAGCCCTGATTATTTTGAGATTTTTTAGAACTCAGAATTCACATAGAAGACATATATTCTGTTATAGGAGTATCAAAATTCTTCTGTAAATTGTTCTCAAATTGTTTTGCACCTAAGTGTCAAGGTGGCCCAGAAGATTGTATGCCTCCCTTTTTCCAAGTATCTTTCCCCAATCTCCTACCTTACCACGTAACAAGGGAAATGAACAGCTCACAACTATCTTGAATTCTCTTTTGGTGTTTTTAACTGATTTTAAAACACAGTTGAAACAAACTTGCAGTCAATCTGAAATACTGGTGTCGTATACCATATGTCATATAATAGTACATGACATGCAAGAAAGTGTTGGTGTGCTGATCATGAAAATGACAGAGGATTAGTCTTATAGATGAAGGAAACTAGTGGTTCTTCAAATAATCCCCATTCAATAACTAATTTCTGCTATGACAGCCAGCAAATGGTCTCAGTGATAAAAATTTATATTTGAATGCTTGCCTAAGAATTCAAGTAGAGAAGAATTTAACAATATTGAACAACTATGTTCAATTTTGTAGTAGTTGTGGTCCAGGCTGAAATCAGAAAAAAAAAATTTAAAAATAGGGATTGTTAATTAGTAAAAGGAGACTGACTATGTACAGGGACATCAAAAACGCTAAGAAATGCAAGGATTACAAATGTAGGGGACAGCCACTAGCTCTAGCTCTGACAAAGAGTACAATGGAGTGGAATAAATTTGGAAGAGGCCCCATCAAGTCTAAGATTCAGAAGTCACCGGAGAAGGAGAGGCTTCAGTCACTGAATGACCAAGAATTTGTGCACTGGGGTGCTGGCAGAATTCTCTGGAGTATGGGCAACAGTGGGTCACCTGCTGCTCTTGGCAAGGTACATGGCCACCTGAGAGCTACAGAACTTGCTGGGAAACTGCCTGATGGTTGCTACCAAACATGTTTTTGTTGAGCAAGGACAGTCTAAGAACATCTTAGAAGAGAGAAGAGGACTGTGCCTATAATTGCTCTAAAAATACTTGCAGATAGAGAAAGTGCAACCTAAATTTATAAATACCAAACAAACATCCTGGCAGATCAGAACATCGACGGCAGGAAAGAGGCTAAGAAGCACACATAGTAGTTTTACATAAAACATGTTTAGGGAAGATATTTTTCCTTTATAAAATGAAAGTATTTTGTTTAACTGACTATTTTATCATTATAAAAATACAAAATATAAAACATAAAGTATATAAATTAGTGTTTTAAAATTACAACTCATTTTGACCTTTTGTCTTCTAAATGGCCAGTACAAATATTACTTTATGGAATTTATTTATAAATTGTATTATTCATTATTACTATATGTAATACATATGGTCATATAATTTTATAGTTATATACTTATATTTATAGATATACTTACAATTGTATATCTAAATGTGTATGTACACACACATATATACACATACTCTTATTTTATAGACTCTGAAATGTTCTGTGGTAAAGACAATGTTTAAACTCATTAACCTAACTTTTATTACTTTATTGCATTATTATATTTTTATATTTTATTTATATATTTATATTGTTTATATTTATTTATATTTTATTTTGTATTTTGTATTACTTATATTATTTATATTTTTATTACATTACTTTTAATGGCAAAAACTGCAATTACTTTTGCACCAACCTAATAATTATAAATCTAGTTGGGGAAACATTGTTGGGAGAGGAATAGTGCTACAAGAGGCAGTCTAGCTTATTTATGAAACATTATCTCTACTATGGTATGTTTAGACAGTATCTAAATGCATAGTAAGTACATGCTACCTGATAGAATACTAGGTAAAACAATGTGATCACTTGACAATTTAGTCTTCTTTAGCCTTTTTCAAAAATGCATAGTTAAATTAGAAATTTTACATGAAAAAATGTTCTAGACTACATGAAATAATTTTAGTAGTTTGGAAATTATACTATATTATAACTTCTTCAACATCAAGTTTTTATTTTTAGATAATATTGTCCTAAGACCAATTACGTGGGCCAGAGTTATAAAACTTTATAATCACAATTCTTTTGCAATTATTTATGATATTTTTTCATTTCCACTTGAAGATTCTGTTTGTTATGATATTAGGAATGTCACTAGTGTCAGTTCCATTATTTAAAAATTTTCCTAACATAGTGAAGAAGTCTGAATTTTCAAAGAGTATCTCTAAATGGAATAATTCACCACAAATTGCATATGTTACCCTTTGGTCTCGATTTCTACCTAATAAAGGCTCATGAAGTTTTCTGTAAGAAGTTTTACGTAAAAGGAGAGGTCTTACAGTCCAAAAACTTGTATTGTAAACCTTGCCTTTCATCTAATAACTATTTGAATTAGGGAATTAAAATAAGCTCTTTGTTCTCATTTTTTCTCAGTTATAGAATGGAAAATCATTTTTAGATAGGGAATTAAATGGCATAAATCCTGGAGTCAACAAAAGTGAGCTATGTCTAACTTTCTATGCCAATAAACACTCTTAATAACATTACACTACATGAGTAAAAAAGACGTAATTCATTAATTTAGCAAATAATTGTTGAATGTCTATGATTCCAGACAGTATGCAAATCATTACCATATTGCTCTTTCTTCACAGTCAGGTGGGTCCCTGGTTAGATGCTATATTGTATGAGGTTCCATACCTGTGAATTAGAAATTTGATAATCAGATGAAAAATAGTGTTGGTTGAACATTTGTGGGCTGAAATTGTAAACCCTGAACCAGAGTAGATATCTATCGTCATGAGAATTAAATGTTAAACCTTTCAGTTGGAAAACTTCCAATGAATTCAACTTATTACCAAGCTTTTTTTGTTTGTTTACTCAATTAATAATGCCATATTAGCCACTCAGCATTTGTCTTTGTGGCTAAGTGACTAGGTCTTGAGAAGTACAATTAATTTCAAGTGGGAGTCCATTCTCCCAGCCTATATCTAATCTCCATTTCTGCTACTGTGGCCACACCACTAACATGCTTTTTGTGCCAGTTCTTGAGTTGGCCAATGGTAAAGGTTAAGAAAATCTATACTCTACCAGCAGAATATTAATAGAGGGAAATGACTAGCAAGAGTAAAGGAAGTAAGTCGGAGGAATCTTGGAATGGCAATGCATATCTGCCAACTGTGAAAGGAATGAATAAAGAAAGGAGTGGAGAGTCATTGCCTTAATACTGAAGTGTAGCTTTAAGAAGATTGTGTCCATGCTAAAATGGAGCCCATGCCGTCGGCTGAAAAAGTGCCCTAAGGATATCAGGCCCTCGTGACCAGAGCCTAAGAATATAATTTTGTTTGGTAAAATATGAGATTAAATTAGGGATGTTAAGATAAAAGTATTATCTTGTATAATGAAATTAGTAAGTGACCTCCTGAGAGAGAGGAGGAGGAGATTTCACAAAGACAGGAAAAGGAGAAGACACGCACACAAGAGGAGAAAGCAAATGACCAATGAGGCTGAGACTGGAGCGATGCAGCCACGAGTGTCAAGAAGTGCTGCAGTCACCAGAAGCTAGAATAAACAAGGGACGATTCTTCCCTAGAGCCTCTGGAGTAAGAACGGCTCTGATGACTTCTTGATATCAGTCCAGTGTGACTTATTTCAGACTTCTTCATCTAGTATCGATTAGAACGAATTCCAATGGTTTTAAGCCACTCTCGTTTTGATAATTGTTAGAGCAGCCCTAGGAAAACAATGCAGTTCTCAAGTCAAAGTTGTGTAGTAGAGGAAGTCCACATAATACAGGAATAGGTCAGGCATGCCTGGAAGCCTTCTGGGGGAATTGCGGCTTTGGCACAAATGCAGTGGTGGATGAAGGATAGCGGCAGAGGTCATGAGTCAACTGCCCTCCCCAGTGTCAGACATAGAAGGACTAGATTCATAGCCAACAAAAAGAAGTAAACTTTTTCATTTATCTTGTAGCTTATTATGTGTAGAATATCCCACTCACAAATGCAAACAAAGCCAAGTTTTTCCAAGTCAAATGTGACATTTGTGAAATTTGCCCATGTGTCAGGCCAAGCAGCAAGCTCCAAAGTGAAGAAAAATAGTGTACTTGACAATTTATCTGAGCAAAAATAATATGAAAAAAACAAACATATTAAATATCTATTATGTAAAAATACAGAAAGGAAATTATATAACTAAAAAAGAAAAAAGGATTCATGATAAAAGTTTGAAAATATTTAGAACCTTACAATTATTGATAAGAATATTTCATATAAAAATTATAGGTTGCATCTGAAGTGGAAACTAGAGCATAATTGACATATAGTTGAAGCATGACCAGTAGACCATAAGTTAAAACATCAAATTTTAAAAAGTTAACTTCACAGAAAGTTGAATAAAGAAAAAAAGATAAAAATAATGAAGAAGAATAGCATCAAATCTATAAATTTCTTCGAGCAGCATGGCCATTTTCATGAAAATATTGAACGTTTCATGAATGTGCGAGTCATCCTTGCACAGACTCCATGCTAATCTTCTCTGTACCATTCCAATTTTGGTATGTGTGCTGCCAAAGTGAGTACAAATCCATTTTTATAAAAGAAAAAATTTACAACTTAAAATTATAAATAAAAATTATCTTTATAGGACTATGTCATTAAAGAAAAGTATACAATGTTTCCAATGGGAGGTGAAGTTTTCAAGTGGTAATTAGATTTGTCATTTGTAAATGGAAAATTACAAAGATAACCATATGAAATTATTTCCATAGTGGATATATTATAAATAAACCAACAAACTCTGTGTATTTTTTATAACTCAGGAGGCATGCTTGACATATATCTGCTTTATGAGTTTTGGTTCCAATGCAGGTATGCACTTACGCATTCTACTTACAATCAAATTTTATTACATTTTGTTTATCTGACCTTGAAAAAAATATCAACTCTGGAGCAGTAACTTTCATTTATAAGTCTAGCAGAGTTTGGCTGTAAAGGCCAAATGCTGATTTTTTTCCCAAGCAATTATGAGTTGGTGTCAGAGACCTGTCATGAACAGTAGGTGAGCAGACGACAGGGCAATTGTGACAAACTTGCCAAACTAATCATTGGGAAGAAATGTTAGCATGCTCTGTTTAATATCATTTTATAATGTATAAAATTATTACATACCACATAATTTACATTGCTGCTTACACACCTTATTACATACTATTAATATAACACTGAACCAGTGCTGTTATTCTGTTTATGAATATGTTTACATAGTTTCTCTTGATAATTAATGAGAACATTTTCATTAGCTAAACTAAGGTTTTTCAATTAGACAAAGAATATGTTTCAAGATGACTTATAATAAAGAAGTTTTATTACTCTTGGAGGCACAAAGGACAGAAATTCTTCACTGCCTGTATTCTTGGGCAGAGACAGATTTTAGGGGCTGCCACAAAATGAATTATAATTACATAAATACATAATATAATAATTATATATGCTATTTTGACTAAGATAACAATACTTAAGTAATTTGTACAGGAATAGTTTTATGATTCCTTTTCAATAAAGAAATATTTCAATTACTAAGGGTAGTTATAATGAAAAAATATGCTTTAAAGGCTCCGAATAAATAGATCGTAGTTATAACATGATTGAATTTTTTTTGTATAATTACTTTTATATAGGACTGAAAGCTTACAAAAATACTGTTTTTGAAGTAATTTTATATAGCCAACAGATAGAGTCCTAATCTGAAAATGGAAGTAAAATTAACAAATAACAAAAAATTTGCTATAGTATAAAATTATGGATAAATATCTGATACATGGCTAGATAACAGATGAAGTCCAATAAACCTTGCCTTCTTCCACAAAATTTATCTTTATGGCTAATCATTAAGAGTTTGCAAACCAGTCTGTGAAAACATGAATAATAACAATATATTTTCTTTTCTGAAGAAATGACCATTTTTCCCATCATTTCTAATAATCTGTTTCACTTATTTCTAAAAGTCTGTTGAGTGTGTGTTACATGTAAATGTCTATTTGTATATAATGTAATTTAGGGGTTATCTAATGTAACTCACCCGTATTGGATGGTACCTTGCTTGAAAACACCATCAGTTACAAATCTCTTTCACTGAATTCTGAATAGATGTTTATATTAATTAAGACATGGCCTATTTATTTAAGGAGTGCTAACATGTCACACATATTCATAGAATGTATACATTTAATTAGTAAATATCACAGGTTCCTCTGTCGTCTAGTGATATTCGAATCTAAGAGGACTATTAGGATTTGATGAAAAGAAGTAGACAAATATACAGATCAACAAGTCCTTCCAAAGGTAAGGCAGATGAGATGAAAATATGTCATGATGCCATGTTGCCAAGGAAATCAACTAAAAGCATAAAAAGCTGAAAGGCATTCTCAAAATAACCAGTTGGTCAAGTCAGGGCACTTTCCAGTTGCATTTGTATATTATGCAACTAATTCAGAAAAAAAAAAAAAAAGTTTGATCTTGAAGTAGAGGCATAATCATAATAATGATGTATTAACCATTAATACTGAGATAATATTTAAAACTCAAATTAATTTTTCTAAAGTTATAAAGGATTTAAACCTGCCAGGTTATTTTCCTAAACCATTTTATACTCCTAACTGCATTATACAATTGCTCCAGTTTCTCTATCTTCTTGCCAGCATACAGTGTTTTCCCTAGTCCTTATTTTAACCATTGTTAGTGTGTGTTCTCACATGGTGGAAGGGATGAATGAGCTCTCTGGTGTCTCTTTTATAAGGGAATTACCCTGATTTAGGAGAGCTTTATCTTCATGACCTAATCAAGTCCCAACTCCTACTACCATCACCTTGAGGGTTAAGATTTTAACATACGAATTTTGGGGAGACAAAGGGATTCAGAAAACAGAGGTTCTTTATTGAATAGGTCTTCTGAAAATATTTTCTACCAGTCAGTGGCTTATCTTTTTGTTCTTTTGACCTTACCTTTTATGGAGAAAAAGTTTCCAATTTTAATCAAGTTAAGCTTATCAAATCATGTGTTCATGAATTGGGCCTTTGGTGTTACATCTAAAAAATCATAAAGCCCAAAGTCATGGAGATATTTTCCTATATTATATTCAAGAAGTTTTAACATGTTGTGTTTACATTAAGTCTGTGCTCCATTTTGAGTTAATTTTGTAAATAGTGTAAGGTCTGTATGTGGGTTCATGTGTTTAAGATGTGGACATCTAGTTGTTCTAACACAAATTGTTAAAAAGACTATCCTATTGCAATTGTATTGCTTTTGCTCCTTTGTCAAGAATCAACCTATGTGGATTTTTCTGGACTCTCTATTTTATTGTAGTGATCTATTTGTTTCTTCTTTTGTCAATCCCACACTCTCTTGATCACTGTAACTTTCTAGTGTCCTGAAGGCTGGTAGTGTTAATTCTCCAACTTTATGCATCTCCTTAAATATTGTGTTGGCTATTCAGAGCATTTTGCTTCTCCATATAAAATTTACTTTTTTAACTTTTTATTTTAACTTATGTGGGTACAAAGTAGGTATATATACTTATGGGTTACATGAAAAATTTTGATACAGGCATGAAAGGTGAAATAATCACATCAGGGTGTAGGGCATGCATCATCTCAAGCATTTATCCTTTATGTTTCAAACAATCCAATGATACTCTTTTGGTTATTTTTGTATAAACAGTTAAATTATTTTTTACTATAGTTAGCATGTTGTTCTAGCAAATAGTAGGTCTTATTGATTATTTCCAATTACTTTTCGGACCCATTAATCAACCCTGCTTTCCCCCGCCCACCACCTACCCTTCCCAGCCACCAAAAGCCATCCTTATACTTTATGTTTCATGAGGTTTTTTTTTTTTTTTTTAATTTTTAACTTCCACAGATTAGTGAGAATATATGGTTGTCTTTCTGTGCCTGGCTTATTTCAATTAACACAATGAGCACCAGTTCCATCCATGTTGTTGCAAATGACAGGATCTCTTTTTTATGACTTAATAGTACTTCATTGTGTATAGGCATCACATTTATTTACCCAGTCGTCTATTGATGGACACTTCAGTTGCTTTCAACCTCCACCCTCTGAAAAGCCCCAGTGTGTGTTGTTGCCTTTATGTGTCCATGTGTTCTCATCAGTTAGCTCACACTTATAAGTGAGAACATGTTGTATTTGATTTTCTGTTCCTGTGTTAGTTTGCTAAGGATAATGGCCATCAACTCCATCCATTTCCCTGCAAAGGACAGGATCTCATTTTTTACATGGCTACATAGTATTCCCTGGTATATACGTAACACATTTTCTTCATCCAGTGTGTGATTGATTGACATTTAGGTTGATTCCATTTCATTGCTATTGTGAACAGTGCTGCAGTGAACATACACTTACATGTGTCTTTATAAAAGAATGATTTATGTTCCTTTGGGTATATACTCAGTAATGTAACTGCTGAGTCAAATGGAATTTCTGTCTTTAGGTCTTTGAAGAATTGCAACACTGTCTTCCACAACAGCTGAACTAATTTACAATCCAACCAACAGTTTATAAATGTTCCTTTTTCTCCACAACCTTGCCAGCATCTATCATTTTTCTGAGTTTTTAGTAGTAGCCATTCTGACTAATAGTAGCCATTCTGACCGATGTTAGATGATATCTCATTGTGGTTTTAATTTGCATTTCCCTAATAATCATTGACGTTGAGCATTTTCTTCATATGACTATTGGCCACAGGTATGTCTTCCTTTGAAAAGAGTCTATTTATGTCCTCTGCCCACATTTCAATGGGATCCTTTTTTTTTTTTTCTTGTAAATTTGTCTAAGGTCCTCATAGAAGCCAGATACTAGACCATTCTCAAATATATAGTTTGCAAAAATTTTCTCCCATTCTGTAGGTTGTCAGTTTATTCCGTTGATTTTGTTTGTTTGTTTGTTTGTTTTCTGTGCAGAAACTGTTTAGTTTAATTAGGTCCCATTTGTCAGTTTTTGCTTTTATTGGAATTTCTTTTGGCCTCTTTTTCATGAAATCTTTGCCTATTCCTGCCTACTAAATGGAATCGCCTAGGTTGCCTTCCAGGATTTTATAGTTTTGGGTTTTACATTTAAGTCTTTAGTCAATCTTGAGTTAATTTAGTATATGGCATAAGAAAGGGGTCCAGTTCTAGTCTTCTGCATTTTTGGTTTCAGTTTTCCGCATATGGTAGCCAGTTATCCCAGCACAATTTATTGAATAGTGAATCCTTTCCATCAATTGTTTTTATCATGCTCATTGAGGATCAGATGGTTATAGGTGTCTGGTATTATTTCTGGGTTCTCTATTCTGTTCCAGCTGACTATGTGTCTGTTCTTGTGCCAGTACTATGCTCTTTTGGTAGTATAGTTTGAAGGCAGGTAGCATGAAAACTCCAGCTTTGTTCTTGTTGCTTATGATTGCTTTAGCTATTTGGGCTTTTTTTGTTGTTATTGTTCCATATGAATTTTAAAATAGTGTTTTCTAGTTCTGTAAAGAATGTCAATAGCATTAATCTATACAGTCTTTTGGGAAGTATAAGCAT